CCAACAAAAAAGGGCACTTTCGGGAGAAAAAAGGGCACCTTCAAAGGGAATTTTAAAGCAAAAATAGACAAGTTTTTAGATATTGGTATATACCCATATATTATGATTACATTATCAGGGATGATTTCAATACTTGTTTCTCGTTATACATCATATAAGATATAGCTTAAGCATCATACTTTGCAGTTGGGTGTGATGGTCTGAAAATTCATTTGCGAGCGAGGAAAAATTTTAAGATTTGTGAGGTCGCAGTGCGAAAAATTACATCTTATAAAGAAGAAAAACCCTATCCTGATGGGGTTATAAGCACATTCTCATAACGGAAGACTGAAAAGACCTTTGATTAGTAACACTAAATGCGAGCGAGCGTAGCGAGCGTGCTTTGGGGGAAATTTCTCTTAGTCGCTTGAGGCACGTTTAATGATGAGAGGAAAAGGGAACACTTATCGAAAGGGATAAGACACTTATTAGAAAAGAAAAGGAGCACGTGTCAAAGTGCAAAGGCTAATTAACAGAGGTGAAAATGGGGCACTTCTTACACCTAAAAAAAGAGGCACTAACCAGGGATGAAAAGGGCACTTATGACAATGGGAAATGGGCATTTGTCGACGGAAAAAAGGCACTCATCAGATTTTAAAGGGGCATTTATAACAAGTGAGAAGGGGGAAGTGGCTCCCATTAAAAAGAAAAAGAGGCACATCTTAAAATAAACGGGGCACTTGTCAGAGATGAAAAGGGGAGTAATTATGAGAAGAGGAAGGGGCACTTATAAGAAGGAAAATGAGCATTTATTGGGGAGGAAAGGGGGAAGTGTCAAATAAAAGGGGAATTTATTAGAGATGAAAAGAGCATTTATCAGGAGAGGAAGGGGCAATTGTCAAAGTAAAACGATTTTCTCTCAGAATTATATAGGGTCATTTACAAGAGATGAAAAAGGGCATTTATGAGAAGTGGAAGGGGATATTTTTAATGGGGGCACTTAGCATAAGGAAAAGGGGCACTTATTAGAAAGGAAAGGGGGCGCATGGGAAAATATAAGGTGCGCTTATCCGAGTTAAAAAGGGTTAGTTATTAAACTGGGAAGGGGCACTTCTTACAAGGCAAAAGGGGCACTTGTCAAAGAAAAAGGGGCACCTCTCAGATTTGAATAGGGTAATTATCAGAGGTGAAGAGGCGCTTATCAAAAGTAAAAAAGGGGCACTTACTAGAGATTAAAAAGGGCACTTGTGAGAATGAAAAATGGAAACTTATTGCAAAGGAACATGGGAACTTGTCGAAGGAAAATTGGTACGTGTCAAAATAAAAGGGGTACTTATCAGAGTCGGAAAGGGGAAGGTGCACTTTTTAAAGTAATAGTGGCACTTATCAAATTAAAAGGGGTACTTTTCCTATGTAAAAAGGGGCACTTCTTACAACGGTAAGGGACACTTTTCCTGTAGGAAGGGGCAATTTTGGGGTACTTCAAAAATTGGGGGGGGGGATGTGCCCCCCCCCCCCCCCCCCCACCCCGGGAGCGCCACCTCTGCACAGTCATGTACTCCTCGACTGTGTTTTTTATTATGTATATGAAAGCTCAACATTTCGAGCAGTGCATGTGTTCTTTTCTCCTTTTTTCTTTTTTTCCTATTCCTTTTTAAAAAAATTCTCGAATATTCTAAATGTCATTAGATGTTAATTTTATGTAAGCATTCTTTCTTGTTTTTATTGAGTTTTGAAATAAAAATCATTCGAATTGAGTTGAAATTGAATTAAATTTGGTGGCAGATGACGCTATACCAATTTGATTGTGTATCAACAGATAATTGATCATTTATTAACAATATTCATACTTCACAAATAGAGGAAATTAGTTTTCAACCAACTTTTAACAATACTATGGCGGCCCCGACCTCTATGGCGGAATCGTTCCCATTCTCAGCAAGGGAATTTAATTCTATACAATTTTTCATTACTAAGTCATAAACTCTGTCAGGATTTTCGTAAGATGCCAATTGATGTCAACAATTTCCGAGCAGTCAAAGAAATTAGGTCTTAACTTTATTTGCAAAAGGGCGGGGCACCTACAATTAATTTTACTGTTTGTTTCTTCAAAATATATGACTCTGATGGCGGTAAGTTAAAAAAGACAAAAGCGTTTATTGGACCATATTCAAGTTTCAAGAGAAAAGTGAAGTGGTCAACTTTCATTGACGACTATTTACAATATTTATATCGCCACTGTTACAATGTCTAATAGGCCTACTTATTAGTACTCTAACTCATATGATTTTATTTATTTATGTTCTTATATTTATCTCAATACATGAAACTAGTAAACTTAAAGGGCAATGGTTCATTAATCAATAAACACGGACTTTGTAAGAACTATGGAAGTTTCCCATTTGAGTTTAATTCAATTTCTTCTAATATGGCATCATGAGATGGGTGGTTCAGATCCCGAAGCATGAGGTTGTGCTAGTCCGTAATATTTTTTATTTCTCATTTATAAACTTCAGAACCAAAAATAAACCATCAAATTACAAAAGGGTATCTTGTGTTATGGACAGATCACAGTCATTATATTCATAAACAAATGCAGGCACGGATCCAGGATTTCTCAGGGGGGGGGGGGGGGATTTAAAATCATGCGAGCCAAATATCGGTACGTTATGGTTTCCAGCAGTGGTGTAAATTTTTTTTTTTTTTTTTTTTTTTTTTGGGGGGGGGGGGGGGGGGGGTCAGAAGATAACAATCTGCATCATCACCACCACTTTTACCTGCAGGCCCCGCTGAACGTTTTTTTTTTTTAAAGTTGGTGGGGGAGGATAAAGTATTTACGTTCAGATACAGCGAAGCGTAAATTGGCGTGGGATCTAGGGCAAACCCCGGTGGGGAATAACGGGTGGAACCCCCGGAAGCTTAGGGGTATGGGCATTTAATTACGGTCAAATGAGCATATTTCGATACCTTATTCATGACACTGACATGTCACTAATTGGCGTGAGGTCCAGGGGACGCAGCCCCCAGAAGCTCAGGAGTTTAAGGAATTAAATTACCGTCTGATGAGCATCCAGAGGCCCGCCTTAGAGCCCTGGGTGGGGACCAGGGTTTTTTAGGCATTTAATTACGGTCAGCTGACCATATTTGTGACACATGCAGGTCACTCTTTTTTCTTTCTTTCTGTCTTTCTTTCTATTTCTCTTTAATATACTTTTTAAACAAAGAGGGGAGGGAGGTCAAGTCCCCTGAGCCCCACCGTTCTGCGGACCCTGGCATATTGGCCTCTTAATAAGCATATTTCTTGCCTGACTGTAAATTTTTGAATTTGTCATTTTCCAACAAATGCATTCACAAATTTAGTGAACTAAAAAGCGAGGAAAAATCCCGAAAAATTATGTCATTTAAGCAAAATTTGTAAATCACTGGTATTGATTTAGAAATAAACCACGTTGGAAATTGTGTTGGGGTCAAATGCTCCAAGCCCCCCCCCCCCTTGCAGTACGCCAGGGTTGATCAGGTGCGTATTTGGCGCTTGGTCTCAATGACGAAAGAAGAAGCGATACAAATCGCAACTTATTTTCCCTTCTTTTCCCCCTTTTCTTGTCTTCTTTCTTTTTATTTTCTTTCACTTTCTTTCCTCCTTCCCCTTCCCTTCCTATCCATTCTTTCTCTCTCTCTCTCTCTCTCTTTCTTTCTTTCTTTTGCTGAGGTGGGGGGGGGGGGCGGGAGGCAAGGGCATTTTGCCCCCCCCCCGATCCACGACTGGTCGGCGATATCCCCCTTCTTTTTTTCTTCTTCTTCCTCTTTTTTTCCTTCCCTTTATCTCCTTTTCCTTTTTTTTTTCTTTCTCTTTCCTTCCTGCTCTCTGTTTTTGCTGCGGGGGGGGGGGGGGGGGAGAGGCAACAGCATGGGCAAGGTCCTTTCGGCCCCCCCCCCCCCGATCTCCTTCTTTTCCCCTTTTCTTTTCTTCTTCCTCTTCTTTCTTTCCCTTTCTCTCTTCTTTCCCTTTCCCTTCTTTTCCTTCTCCCCCTCTCTCCTTTTTTTTTAAATTTTTTAAAAATTTGTTTTAATATATTTTTTTTTTTGGGGGGGAAGGCCCCCTGGACCCACCTTTCCCCTGGATCCGCGCCTCGCTTACGCTTGGTTCGTGCGCATTCCATGTTCTCATCTGCAGAGATCTGCGGCCTAAATAAAACAAAAAATATTAAAAATAGACCTACTCGCAATCAATTCCTATTAGTTCCCTTTCAGTCCACGCCCTAAATTGCAAAACAGCCTGAGCCCCTCCTCCCACCCCCTCCTTGCTTGCGACAAGACGTATTAAAAATATATATATAATTGACAGGCCAAGTCGGGCTAAGATGCCCCATACAATTCTAGCTCCGTCCCGCGCCACATCTGTTTCCCTTTTTCGGTGTTTCAAACTGTAAACTTTTCAGAGAGTAAAATGCCAGAATTTTCCCATTTGAGAAGTGATAAAGTATGATTAAAAGATACAGACCAGTCTTATAAGGACTAAATAGCACGAACTATACTGTAACACTAACACATACTCGCCCCGATCGTAGTACCTTTGCATAACAAAATTCGCGACACGGCCGAAAAGGCTACCCGGCGGCCCGCTATAACAAGTGCTCTGATTCGCCAGAGTTAAATATACGTACACATGTTTAACATGCGGTACTGTATTTCCCGTTTTGTGTACGTAAACGATAATCCTGCACAGTAATTGGCCGATCAACTACCGCAAGCACTACAACTAACTACCGCAAGCTACTACTCAGTAACGCAAGCACTACAACTAACTACCGTAAGCTACTAACCAGTAACGCAAGCTTGCTTGCGATATATGGCGGCGATGGCCTTCCATATGATCGGGCGCTCGCACGTACGCTCATGAAAGAATAATCTTGGAGCCTATTGTCCTTTGTCCGAAGCTGAACTTTAGACGGGCGCATGTCACATGATCAAATATGAAATCACGAGACCTCGGGAATGAAATGAGAAAAGCCGCTCGGCATGCATATCCAGTGTATGTACAATACATACCGTACGCGGTATAAATACTGCTTGCACTGTATTAGTACTTCACTAATTAATCTTGCAGTCATATGACGTGCAGCTGCAGAAATATAGAGCTAGGCAACAAAAGCAGACAGAGACCCTAGGCCTTTAGCTGGCTTTAAGGACTTGGATTGGGAAAGCTAGGCGCAGAATTAGCGTCCTCTCTAGGCTCAAGAGTAGGGCCCTAGATTTACTCCCTAGTAATAAAAAGTGCCATTCTTATTTTCGTGCTTGTGACCAGTGGATAGTGGTATTTGGTAAGTGTCATTTTATTTTAATTTTGATTTCTTCTTCTTCCATTTTGATTCTTTACAGAGTACTCCTAGGGCTAGGCCTAGACCTATAGAAAAAAAATCTACTAGGGTGTCTGTGTGCAGGTGGACCACTGGGGTTTCCCCCTAGTGCAGTACGTGGGTTGCTTATTCTTAACGTGCAAAGGTAGTGACATGGATCCATGGCCATGGGGCCTCCATTTAACGTCCTATTCGAGGGACGGAGTGTTTTCCACTTAACATAGCCTGCGTCTATGAACAAGGCACGTTAACACACAACACAGGCTTCAGTCATCCGTCTGGGTGGGATTTGAACCCGGGAAAGCCGGGATCTTTGGTTCGACAGGCAGACGCTTTACCGACTGAGCCAACTCGCCTCCTAATTCCTGCAGTACCTCGGCGTCGGAGCTTCCTGGAGCTGGAGTTGGGCCTAGATCTAGACAGAAATAACCGTCTGGTATGGGTCATACTTTAAATAAAACTGACATTTGTCGACATTCCCCATACCCAGACGGTAACCCATACGGCTAGCACTGGGGGGAGGGATTGAGCCAATTCGGAACCACTTTTAACATTTTTTAATTTTTATCTCAGAACCAGGCCTCATAAAAACCTGATTTAGATCTAGATCTAAATCGGTTTCCCAATTTTTTTTATTTTATCCCAATTTGTTCCCAATTTTTTGTTTTCCCCCAGATTTTATCCCAATTTTTCTTTCTCATAGGGGGGTAATGTTGTTAGGTGCCATTTCCCCCCCCCCCCAAATCCTTTGTTTCCCCCGAATCCTTTTTTTTCCCCCAAAATCCCTTTTTTCCCCCAAAATCCCTTTTTTCCCCCAAAATCCCTTTTTTCCCCCAAAATCCCTTTTTTCCCCCAAAATCCCTTTTTTTCCCCCAAAATCCTTTTTTTTTTTCCTCACGGGGGGCGTGGTTGAGGAAATTTTTTTTTTTTAGTGCACGACTGTCACTGCTCAGAGCTGTGAAACGTTATGATCATGTGCATTCGAACTGGTAATCTAAGAGTGACATGACCCGGCTAATATATTTCCGGGTCAACCTACCAAAACATAGCCAATGGCCAATCGGAACACTTGTTTAATATTGGGTTTATGAATATTCATATATCACTGGGTCAACCTTCTCTTCCCTTTCCCTTCTTCCTTTTGAGTACAGACTTCTTTACAGAGTATTATCGTACTATACTGGGGCTGACTCGTACGTACATGTAGCTATTGTACGTTCGAAAAGAAAAAATGAATATTCATCAACTAAAACCAAGATGGCTGACAACGAATCATGTTGACTACAAGACTTCTCTCGGATTAATCATTAATTTAGGATCTAAATGAGCAAGCTCAAAGTAAATATTTCTGTGTTATTTTTTATCTTAAATAAAAATCAGTGTAATATTGCAGCCACAGTGGATATATGAAGACGTAAAGACTGAAAACTTGTTGCATATCTCTTTCATCACGGTCCGGTCGAACCAAACCATTCCTCCCGTTTGGTCCAGTACGATCTTCAGCCTAGGCTAGGCCTAGCTAAAACCTCTTTCCTTCGGATAGGATGTTAAATGGAGGCCCTGTGTAGAGTAGATCGAACATTTTTTTCTCTTTCGTTCGTTAGCCTCTTATTTGGGTAGGGTCGGCTCTGCACTAGTTCAGAAGTCTATCTATCCAGAATTTGACCCGAAACTCCGCGGAGATACCCTACTAAAACCTACCGAAAATCGACTAAATCTTCATTAATTGTTCAAATAATGGTAGAGAGTGTATTGAGGATTTTTCAATTTTCAATTCTGGATCATTTTTCACCAATTTTTTTTTATATGTGAATAAAAAATGTAATCAGAATAATACATTTCAATTTTCAAGACTTACCGATGTTTCTATCAAAAGATACAGCCCCTCCAAAACTCTGCAATATTCATAGCATTTTGGTCAGACTCAACGAAAAAGATGTACAGTATGCGCAGAGTATGTTGTTTTGCTAAATTTAGCCAAACAGCTCCATCGCGAAATATGCATGCGTATGCGTAGCGTATGCATGTTGCTGAGCTGAATGCGCAACTTGAGCACGTTGTCTACGCGATACCTTCATATAACGGGTATGAGAGCGCGATCTGCAAGCCATACCTCCATGACTATAACGTGCGTTCACTTCCGGGTTTATTCGCCTCATATACACACATGGTCCGGTTGCATATTTATGTGCAGATGTTACACGATGTAACCATGGTTTGGACTGAGCGGAGCGCACGCCTCCCTAATTAGCTGATCCAACAAAAAGGGGAAGGGTATTTTCTAACCGTTATTGCGGCCCTCAACAATTGCTGTGGTAGATAAAGGAACATCCCTTCACTGCTATTATGGGGCTATCAAAAAAATAAGTGCATAGATAGATAGATAGATTTTCCTTATGTCTAGCCGGACATAAGCCTGGTGACGCGCTTCATAGTAGCAAATTTTTGGAGCTAGAATGCAAACACCATTTCAATCGCTGTTTTTTTTTGTTGCTTTCTTTAGCACACACACACACACACACACAAAAAAAAAATCTTTCCCCTTTTTTTCCCTCTTTTTTTTTCCAGGGGGGGGGGTGACCCTGGATCCACCACTGCATGTACTTCAGAAGACACGACCACAACCTGAAGTATGTTTTGATTTGAATTACAAATGAACATTGAACAGTTCCATTATTTTATGGCATCTTCAAGCAAATAAAAACATTTATTATGTTGACTTGCAACTAGTACAAATACATGTAGTAACAAAATTAGATGTAAAAAAAAACTTCTCAGCTATGGCTTGGCAGTTCAAAAATCTGGACTACTTTACAACAATAATTGGAAGCAGAGAAGAATGGAGAAGAAAAATAGAAGAAAGTAGAGGAGAAGACTAGAGAAGGATAAAAAAGAAGGAAACGGGTGGAGTGTAAATGTTGTCTCAGGCCACAATAAGGAGGCTTTACTGGTACTTTAGTCTAGAAGAGAACAAGAAGTCCACTTATAGGTATATGTACATTCATGGCAACTGGGATACAATTTTTGCTTTTCTATTGTTATACTGAAATTATCTGGTTAATTTGTTTACCAGGTACAGTAATAGAGTATAATACCATGGAATGGGCAGTTTCTATCTACGTACGTTTATTAAATCCAGATTAATACGCTGCTCCGATTTAGCCGGTTAAAAGGCTGTGAATAAAAGTTCATCAAAACTTTTGCTAAGGTCATTGCAAATTATTATGGGACAGTGATCAGTTCCTTACTACATACTACAAAATACATGGTCCAAATGAAACTTTGTTTTCTGCCATTTTATATGGGTTTAGTAGTTTGTTTATTTTAATCGCTTTTAATTTCTTCTACACTGACTCAGTGGCTGTCAACAAAAAACATGGCGATGCCAGGTCAACCTGGGTTTTTAGTGTTGGGGTCAAATATTCTGATCATGTGATCACTCCGATTTCTGGTTTCTCTCCGTAATGTGCACTCTATCAGAACGGTGTGAGTTTCTACTCACGTTATCCGGTTAGCTTCCCCGGAATTATCCTTCTATCAGAAGGATAATTTTGCTTGTTAACGTGTCAGAGCTCTCACCGGCATCATCCGGATAATAGCGGATAAGGTAAGTTTCTATTAGGCGAAATTAATCCCTTATCGGCTATTAACCGGATAATGGCTTCTAATAGAAATGCTAACTATCTTGCAAGTGTAATTATATAATTTTATTGATATATATTGTAATTGTATTAGAGAATCATCTATAATAAAGACTACATGACACAAATCAAATGATATAAAACAGAAAGTAAGCATACAAATGTATCAAATGTTTAATTGCTGAAGTGGAAGCTACATGTATAGTGACCACAAAATTCCCTAAACTTTAATATTCTGTACCATATAGCTGTCGACGGTCATGAGTTTTACAGCTGAATCACATGCTTCTCGTCCTTCCTTTGTACTTTGCAGGCAGGATATCTGTCACATATTTTCTTGAAAAAATGGAAGGCCAAACAAGGTCTTGAACCTAACCTCAGTCCTCAGATAGTATGTTCAGTGGCTCGGGGGAGGGGAGGGGAAGGAACACTTTTTTTTTCTCGCTTTCTTAAGCACACACACACACACGCACAAAAAATCTTTCCCCTTTTTTTCCCTCTTTTTGCCAGGGGGGGGGGGGGGGACCCGGCCCCCTGGATCCGCCACTGCATGTACTTCAGAAGACACGACCACAACCTGAAGTATGTTTTGATTTGAGTTACAAATGAACATTGAACAGTTCCATTATTTTATGGCATCTTCAAGCATATAAAAACATTTATTATGTTGACTTGCAGCTAGAACAAAACCATGTAGTAACAAAATTAGATGTAAAAAAAAACTTCTCAGCTATGGCTTTGCAATTCCGAAATCTGGACTACTTTACAACAATAATTGGAACCAGAGAAGAATGGAGAAGAAAAATAGAAGAAAGTAGAGGAGAAGACTAGAGAAGGATAAAAAGAAGGAAACGGGTGGAGTGTAAATGTTGTCTCAGGCCACAATAAGGAGGCTTTACCTGTACTTTAGTCTAGAAGAGAACACAAAGTCCACTTATAGGTACATGTACATTCATGGCAACTGCGATACAATTTTTGCTTTTCTATTGTTATACTGAAATTATCTGGTTAATTTGTTTACCAGGTACAGTAATAGAGTATAATACCATGGAATGGGCAGTTTCTATCTACGTACGTTTATTAAATCCGGATTAATACGCTGCTCCGATTTAGCCGGTTAAAAGGCTATGAATAAAAGTTCATCAAAACTTTTGCTAAGGTCATTGCAAATTATTATGGGACAGTGATCAGTTCCTTACTACATACTACAAAATACATGGTCCAAATGAAACTTTGTTTTCTGCCATTTTATATGGGTTTAGTAGTTTGTTTATTTTAATTGCTTCTAATTTCTTCTACGCCGACTCAGTGGCTGTCAACAAAACACATGGCGATGCCAGGTCAACCTGGGTTTTTAGTGTTGGGGTCAAATATTCTGATCATGTGATCACTCTGATTTCCGGTTTCTCTCCGTAATGTGCACTCTATCAGAACGGCGTGAGTTTCTACTCACGTTATCCGGTTAGCTTCCCCGGAATTATCCTTCTATCAGAAGGATTATTTTGCTTGTTTACGTGTCAGAGCTCTTACCGACATCATCCGGATAATAGCGGATAAGGTAAGTTTCTATTAGGCGAAATTAATCCCTTATCGGCTATTAACCGGATAATGGCTTCTAATAGAAACACGCTAACTATCTTTCAAGTGTAATTATATAATTTTATTGATATATATTGTAATTGTATTAGAGAATCATCTATAATAAAGACTACATGACACAAATCAAATGATATAAAACAGAAAGTAAGCATACAAATGTATCAAATGTTTAATTGCTGAAGTGGAAGCTACATGTATAGTGACCACAAAATTCCCTACTTTAATATTCTGTACCATATAGCTGTCGACGGTCATGAGTTTTACAGCTGAATCACATGCTTCTCGTCCTTCCTTTGTACTTTGCAGGCAGGATATCTGTCACATATTTTCTTGAAAAAATGGAAGGCCAAACAAGGTCTTGAACCTAACCTCTGTCTAGTCATGTACATATATGACTGTACATCAGAGGAACAAATACATGTTCATACAATTGAGAATATTGCATGCTTTTCATCATTAGGTGGTCTGTTATCAACAGACCACCTATTGATTTCGTCAGAATTTTCTTTATTATTATTATTATTATTATTATTCTTTATTTTTATTTCTCCCCGTTTTTTGTGGCCCGGATAACTCAAGTTTGGTTTAGTCAATTTGATTCAATTTTGGCACAGTCATAGGCCATTATCATGAGACGTGACAGGAATATTTTTAAGGTCATTAGGTGATCGTGACGTCATCCAGGCGCCATTTTGTGAAATCACGTTATCCATCATATCTTCATGATGCATCAGCAAAGGTCATTCATATTCATGTCACATATACTTTAGGTCAAGGGTCAACAGGTCATGTCATCAAAGGTCACATAAAGGTCATGACGCGCGCGTATGTGCGCGTCAAAATTTAAAATTGCTCAAAATCACTAAACTATTAAACGAGAGTACGAATCGGGTCATTTTAAGCATTTCAAAATTGTCCGTCCGTACATGTCACCGCGCGCGTTGCGCGCGCTCATGACGCGCGGAAAAGGTCAAATTCAAAATGTTTACATGATTTGGATTCCTCTTAACGTAATTGACAATTTACATTAATTTCAGTCACTCTTCATATTTCATAAGGCCGTGAGCGTGCGTCAAAGTTCAAAATCCGCGCGTACTGCTATGGGCAATATAATGCAAATTTGATCAAAAACATGCCATTTTAAAAATCGAAATAGCTCTTCAGATAGTCCATTGACCCCCAATTTTTATATCATGGTTGGAGAAAGCATGAGTTGGAGATATGATTTCATACCATCCTGACTCGTACAAAGTGAAATAAAGTCATCATATTGGCATCTAAACTCAAACAAATGTATTTTGTTGATGACGTCATTTTTGTCTTTGTTTATTTGAGATTATCTCACTTATCGGTGATCGATCTTCTCCCAGATTTTGATATGTTGTAGCTGAGATAATTCTCTATCAGAAATATGCCATTTATTTTTCATTTAGATGACGTCATCATAGTTAAATATTCGATTAAAGGTGACAATGCATAATTTGTCATATTTGCGTGTTATGTCTATGGGAGGTCACTTTTTTCAAAACATGAATCTGCATGACAAGGTGTTTTGACCAGTATCTCGGTTGTTATTCAACAGTTTTCTCCCAAATTTTAGTATGTTGTAACTGAGACTATTTGCTATCTAAATAATTCGTCATTTTTTTTTAATCAGTTATCAGGATCATGCTTATGCTCATCATCATCATTAACATTATCGTTTTTATCGTCATATAACATTATCATTATCATCATCATCACCTTTACAATCATAATGATCACCATGTTCATCCTAATCATCATTGCTTACATGTCTATATAACTTGTCCCATTCTCAAATCTATCATAAGACTTGAACAGACCACCTTATTCGTCTTCGTGACGAATTAAATTCTAGTTTATACTAGATTTTGTGTCCTATATCTGGGATAGGAGTTGGAGACTTCATAGTACAGAGTAAAATCGAAACTGAGACATATCTGGTTGTGAAATGAGGAGAAGGGGAATGGAGAAGAAAAACAGAGAATTACCAATGTGTGTATGTGATCAATCACAAATTTAAGATTTTTTCAATTTTTTTTTTAATTTGTGTCAAAGTTCCGCTAATATATTTACCTCATTCTGTTTTCTTTGAATTGATGCCAGTAACAGTCAATTGAAGTCATTATTCTAACCTCTTTTTGTACTGTTTGTTTCCTTGCAGAGAGAGATGAAGCTGGTGACTATCCTTGTGGTGGCTTCTCTTGTGTCACTGGCATTTGGAGGACCCCTGAAGGTATCAAAGGTACATTTCACTATGGTTAGGATATGAAAATAATTAATTTATTAGAAATTGGTTCAATAATGGGGAAGTTAAAACCGGACGGTTTTCGGTTAAACGATTTAAAAAAAAATTAAAAATATGAATAAGTGGCATCAGTGAAGTATTGTGCATGTATTTCAAGGCTGGGAACTTAGTTTTACCAGTCAACTTCTCAATCTACAATCTTGCAATTGATCGTTATTGTGTAGATTGTTGCTCTGCAATTCAACATTCGACAGTCGGGGCTTATGATGACTATAATGTTAGCAAAACTGGATTTATTAGCTTCATAAAGAAAGCGAAACCAAGTCATTATTCCAAAGCATGCTTGACAGTAAAGCTCCGTTTTTGTTCAGTGATTTTGTTTCTAATTATGTATATTTTGGATTAAAAAATTAAAAAAACGGGAAAAGAAAACCGTCCAATTGAAAACAGATAGTGCCATGGACGGTCGGATACCGGACGGATAAAAAGTTTGACCACAGCACTAGTATGTGTATAGCAGGAACAATTCATTCTTTGAGCAAATTTAAAGAACTTGTCTCGATCATGTCAAATCTCATTTGAAATGCAAGTCTTATAACGTTTTAACTACATTGTATCTTTTTCCAGGTGGCAGAACTTGCCAAAGAGAATACTTGTAAAGATGGATGTGCTACTACATCAACGTGTTGTAACGACTTGAACAATGAATCAGGATGTTGCACATACCCAAATGCAGTATGCTGCTCTGATGGTCGCCACTGTTGTCCTACAGGCTACGAATGTGATGTCACCAGCAACACATGCATAAAAGGAAATGATGTAATGAGGATGTTGATCACAGATTTAACTAGTAATGCATCTGCTGTAATTTGTCCTGATGGCCAATCAGAATGTCCAGATGGTAATACATGTTGCAAACTTGCTTCTGGCCAATATGGTTGTTGCCCTCTACCAAATGCAGTTTGTTGTAGTGATCATCTTCACTGCTGTCCATCAGGTTACACTTGTGGTGTATCATCTGGCACATGCACTCAAGGAGAGTCTGTTGTCCCTTGGTATGAAAAGTCATCTGCCACTCCTGTGCACGAAGAAAATGTTGTATGTCCTGATGGCCAATCAGAATGTCCAGATGGTAATACATGTTGCACACTTGCTTCTGGCCAATATGGTTGTTGTCCTCTACCAAATGCAGTTTGTTGTAGTGATCATCTTCACTGCTGTCCATCAGGATACACTTGTGGTGTATCATCTGGCACATGCACTCAAGGAGAGTCTGTTGTCCCTTGGTATGAAAAGTCATCTGCAACTCCTGTGCACGTAGAAAATGTTGTATGTCCTGATGGCCAATCAGAATGTCCAGATGGTAATACATGTTGCACACTTGCTTCTGGCCAATATGGTTGTTGTCCTCTGCCAAATGCAGTGTGTTGTAGTGATCATCTTCACTGCTGTCCATCAGGTTACACTTGTGGTGTTTCATCTGGCACATGCACACAGGGAGAGTCTGTTGTCCCTTGGTATGAAAAGTCATCTGCCACTCCTGTGCACGTAGAAAGTGTTGTATGCCCAGATGGCCAATCAGAATGTCCAGATGGTAATACATGTTGCACACTTGCTTCTGGCCAATATGGTTGTTGTCCTCTGCCAAATGCAGTGTGTTGTAGTGATCATCTTCACTGCTGTCCATCAGGTTACACTTGTGGTGTATCATCTGGCACATGCACACGAGGAGAGTCTGTTGTCTTATGGTATGAAAAGTCATCTGCCACTCCTGTGCACGTAGAAAGTGTTGTATGTCCTGATGGCCAATCAGAATGTCCAGATGGTAATACATGTTGCAAACTTGCTTCTGGCCAATATGGTTGTTGTCCTCTACCAAATGCAGTGTGTTGTAGTGATCATCTTCACTGCTGTCCATCAGGATACACTTGTGGTGTATCATCTGGCACATGCACTCAAGGAGAGTCTGTTGTCCCTTGGTATGAAAAGTCATCTGCCACTCCTGTGCACGTAGAAAGTGTTGTATGTCCTGATGGCCAATCAGAATGTCCAGATGGTAATACATGTTGCACACTTGCTTCTGGCCAATATGGTTGTTGTCCTCTACCAAATGCAGTGTGTTGTAGTGATCATCTTCACTGCTGTCCATCAGGATACACTTGTGGTGTATCATCTGGCACATGCACTCAAGGAGAGTCTGTTGTCCCTTGGTATGAAAAGTCATCTGCCACTCCTGTGCACGAAGAAAATGTTGTATGTCCTGATGGCCAATCAGAATGTCCAGATGGTAATACATGTTGCAAACTTGCTTCTGGCCAATATGGTTGTTGTCCTCTACCAAATGCAGTTTGTTGTAGTGATCATCTTCACTGCTGTCCATCAGGATACACTTGTGGTGTATCATCTGGCACATGCACTCAAGGAGAGTCTGTTGTCCCTTGGTATGAAAAGTCATCTGCCACTCCTGTGCACGAAGAAAATGTTGTATGTCCTGATGGCCAATCAGAATGTCCAGATGGTAATACATGTTGCAAACTTGCTTCTGGCCAATATGGTTGTTGTCCTCTACCAAATGCAGTGTGTTGTAGTGATCATCTTCACTGCTGTCCATCAGGTTACACTTGTGGTGTTTCATCTGGCACATGCACACAGGGAGAGTCTGTTGTCCCTTGGTATGAAAAGTCATCTGCCACTCCTGTGCTTGTAGAAAATGTTGTATGTCCTGATGGCCAATCAGAATGTCCAGATGGTAATACATGTTGCACACTTGCTTCTGGCCAATATGGTTGTTGTCCTCTGCCAAATGCAGTGTGTTGTAGTGATCATCTTCACTGCTGTCCATCAGGATACACTTGTGGTGTATCATCTGGCACATGCACACGAGGAGAGTCTGTTGTCTTATGGTATGAAAAATCATCTGCCACTCCAGTGCAAGTAGAAAATGTTGTATGTCCTGATGGCCAATCAGAATGTCCAGATGGTAATACATGTTGCAAACTTGCTTCTGGCCAATATGGTTGTTGTCCTCTACCAAATGCAGTGTGTTGTAGTGATCATCTTCACTGCTGTCCATCAGGATACACTTGTGGTGTATCATCTGGCACATGCACTCAAGGAGAGTCTGTTGTCCCTTGGTATGAAAAGTCATCTGCCACTCCTGTGCACGTAGAAAATGTTGTATGCCCTGATGGCCAATCAGAATGTCCAGATGGTAATACATGTTGCACACTTGCTTCTGGCCAATATGGTTGTTGTCCTCTACCAAATGCAGTTTGTTGTAGTGATCATCTTCACTGCTGTCCATCAGGATACACTTGTGGTGTATCATCTGGCACATGCACTCAAGGAGAGTCTGTTGTCCCTTGGTATGAAAAGTCATCTGCCACTCCTGTGCACGTAGAAAATGTTGTATGTCCTGATGGCCAATCAGAATGTCCAGATGGTAATACATGTTGCAAACTTGCTTCTGGCCAATATGGTTGTTGTCCTCTACCAAATGCAGTTTGTTGTAGTGATCATCTTCACTGCTGTCCATCAGGATACACTTGTGGTGTATCATCTGGCACATGCACTCAAGGAGAGTCTGTTGTCTCTTGGTATGAAAAGTCAGCTGCCACTCCTGTGCAAGTAAAGAGTGTTATCTGTCCAGGAGGCCAAGCACAATGCCCAGATGGTAATACATGTTGCAAACTTGCTTCTGGCCAATATGGTTGTTGTCCTCTGCCAAATGCAGTGTGTTGTAGTGATCATCTTCACTGCTGTCCATCAGGATACACTTGCGGTGTTTCTGCAGGAACCTGCACACGAGGAGAGTCTGTTGTCTTATGGTATGAAAAATCATCTGCCACTCCAGTGCAAGTAGAAAATGTTGTATGTCCTGATGGCCAATCAGAATGTCCAGATGGTAATACATGTTGCAAGCTTGCTTCTGGCCAATATGGTTGTTGTCCTCTACCAAATGCAGTTTGTTGTAGTGATCATCTTCACTGCTGTCCATCAGGATACACTTGTGGTGTATCATCTGGTACATGCACACAGGGAGAGTCTGTGGTCTTATGGTTTGAAAAATCAGCTGCCACTCCTGTGCAAGTAGAGAGTGTTATCTGTCCAGGAGGCCAATCCGAATGTCCAGATGGTAATACATGTTGCAAACTTGCTTCTGGTCAGTATGGTTGTTGCCCTCTACCAAATGCAGTTTGTTGTAGTGATCATCTTCACTGCTGTCCATCAGGATACACTTGTGGTGTATCATCTGGCACATGCACTCAAGGAGAGTCTGTTGTCCCTTGGTATGAAAAGTCATCTGCCACTCCTGTGCACGTAGAAAATGTTGTTTGTCCTGATGGCCAATCAGAATGTCCAGATGGTAATACATGTTGCAAACTTGCTTCTGGCCAATATGGTTGTTGCCCTCTACCAAATGCAGTTTGTTGTAGTGATCATCTTCACTGCTGTCCATCAGGATACACTTGTGGTGTATCATCTGGCACATGCACTCAAGGAGAGTCTGTTGTCTCTTGGTATGAAAAGTCAGCTGCCACTCCTGTGCAAGTAGAGAGTGTTATCTGTCCAGGAGGCCAAGCACAATGCCCAGATGGTAATACATGTTGCAAACTTGCTTCTGGCCAATATGGTTGTTGTCCTCTGCCAAATGCAGTGTGTTGTAGTGATCATCTTCACTGCTGTCCATCAGGATACACTTGTGGTGTTTCTGCAGGAACCTGCACACGAGGAGAGTCTGTTGTCTTATGGTATGAAAAATCATCTGCCACTCCAGTGCAAGTAGAAAATGTTGTATGTCCTGATGGCCAATCAGAATGTCCAGATGGTAATACATGTTGCAAGCTTGCTTCTGGCCAATATGGTTGTTGTCCTCTACCAAATGCAGTTTGTTGTAGTGATCATCTTCACTGCTGTCCATCAGGATACACTTGTGGTGTATCATCTGGTACATGCACACAGGGAGAGTCTGTGGTCTTATGGTATGAAAAGTCAGCTGCCACTCCTTTGCAAGTAGAGAGTGTTCTCTGTCCAGGAGGCCAATCCGAATGTCCAGATGGTAATACATGTTGCAAACTTGCTTCTGGCCAGTATGGTTGTTGCCCTCTACCAAATGCAGTTTGTTGTAGTGATCATCTACACTGCTGTCCATCAGGATACACTTGTGGTGTATCATCTGGCACATGCACTCAAGGAGAGTCTGTTGTCCCTTGGTATGAAAAGTCATCTGCCACTCCTGTGCACGTGGAAAATGTTGTATGTCCTGATGGCCAATCAGAATGTCCAGATGGTAATACATGTTGCACACTTGCTTCTGGCCAATATGGTTGTTGTCCTCTACCAAATGCAGTGTGTTGTAGTGATCATCTTCACTGCTGTCCATCAGGATACACTTGTGGTGTATCATCTGGCACATGCACTCAAGGAGAGTCTGTTGTCCCTTGGTATGAAAAGTCATCTGCCACTCCTGTGCAAGTAGACAGTGTTATCTGTCCAGGAGGCCAAGCACAATGCCCAGATGGTAATACATGTTGCAAACTTCCTTCTGGTCAATATGGTTGTTGTCCTTTACCAAATGCAGTGTGTTGTAGTGATGGTGAGCACTGCTGTCCGTCAGGATACACTTGCGATGTTTCTGCGGGAACCTGCACACAGGGAGAGTCTGTGGTCTTATGGTATGAAAAGTCATCTGCCACTCCAGTGCAAGTAGAGAGTGTTGTATGTCCAGGAGGCCAAGCACAATGCCCAGATGGTAATACATGTTGCAAACTTCCTTCTGGTCAATATGGTTGTTGTCCTTTACCAAATGCAGTGTGTTGTAGTGATGGTCAGCACTGCTGTCCGTCAGGATACACTTGCGATGTTTCTGCAGGAACCTGCACACAAGGAGAGTCTGTTGTTCCTTGGTATGAAAAGTCATCTGCCACTCCTGTGCAGATAGAGAGTGTTGTATGCCCTGATGGCCAATCAGAATGCCCAGATGGTAGTACATGTTGCAAACTTGCTTCTGGTCAATATGGTTGTTGTCCTATACCAAGTGCAGTGTGTTGTAGTGATCATCTTCACTGCTGTCCATCAGGATACACTTGCGATGTTTCTGCAGGAACCTGCACACAAGGAGAGTCTGTTGTTCCTTGGTATGAAAAGTCATCTGCCACTCCTGTGCAGATAGAGAGTGTTGTATGCCCTGATGGCCAATCAGAATGCCCAGATGGTAGTACATGTTGCAAACTTGCTTCTGGTCAATATGGTTGTTGTCCTTTACCAAATGCAGTGTGTTGTAGTGATGGTCAGCACTGCTGTCCATCAGGATACACTTGCGATGTTTCTGCAGGAACCTGCACACAAGGAGAGTCTGTTGTCCCTTGGTATGAAAAGTCATCTGCCACTCCAGTGTACGTAGAGAGTGTTGTATGTCCTGATGGCCAATCAGAATGCCCAGATGGTAATACATGTTGCAAGCTTGCTTCTGGCCAATATGGTTGTTGTCCTCTACCAAATGCAGTTTGTTGTAGTGATCATCTTCACTGTTGTCCATCAGGATACACTTGTGGTGTATCATCTGGCACATGTACAAGGGGTAGCAGCATCTTGGAATGGAGTTCAAAGTCAAGTGCACGTTCTAATGTAGACAAACTTCAGGTATGTATCATCGAAGGATAAGTGCACTTCATAATGTTTCAAGATGAGAATTACGTGATGCAGTCTCTGAAGTTGATAATACATCTAGTATTTTAAATTCCTGCTGTTATTAATTATTTCAATGATTCAAATTGTTACTGAGTTGTCACACTCCTATACAGGAACAACCATGTACCTGTATTCAATGGGTTACAGTGTACCAATCACCTGGAAAATTTTCTATACTTTAAGGTGTTTTGTGTTGCTATACTGTATTCAAATACAAGTTTTTAATATCATCTCTTTAAACTAGGCATGCTATTGATATATATTCCGAGTTCAAATACACTCTAAGTTAACATAAAAACAACTTGAAAGGAGAACGCACCCATTCACGCTCCCAAAGAATAGAGCCCGCACAGAAATAAAGTATGACTTGCTTCCAACCCCCATTTTGCAAAGAAAATTCTGCCTGTTATGCAGTAATGCACATGATGAAGACAATTAGCTCTATTTTGTTATCTCTCTATGCTCATTATTTGAATACCGGTATGGTATTGCTAAAAAAAAAGTTTTTTTTTATGTGTAGCCTGGATTATTCATCGCAAATTTAATTTGATTCTGTGAGGTTCTGTTAATGTCATTACCAAAATATCTAGATCATCTTGTAGGGCGATATGCATTTTGATCTGTGAAAATTAACTAGGTTATGTCAATCACACTTTTTTTCTTTTGATATTTTTTGTTGTAATATCTCTTAGATTACGGCCACTGAACCAGTTAGCATCTGCCCAGATAGCAAGACATCATGCCCTTCATCAAGCACTTGTTGCCCCCTCATGGCTTCAGGAGAATGGGGTTGCTGCCCCGTACATAATGTAAGTTGTCTTCAAGTTTTTAGATATGCCTGCCCCCAGAGATACCAGTTTTGTTGTAATGAGTCAAATCAAGTCAATCAGTAGGAAACCATTATATATTTTGTGTGCAAGTCCAAGTGATTGCTAAAACAACATGTATTGTTGATAAGTCAATCACCAAAAAACTAATAGGTTGATTACTTGCAAACCATTTGAAGTTTAAAGTTAAATGATTGCAATCCATGTCCAGTCCAAGTGCAATGATTGCAAACCATGTCCAGTCCAAGTGCAATGATTGCAAACCATGTCCAGTCCAAGTGCAATGATTGCAAACCATGTCCAGTCCAAGTGCAATGATTGCAAACCATGTCCAGTCCAAGTGCAATGATTGCAAACCATGTCCGGTCCAAGTGCAATGATTGCAAACCATGTCCAGTCCAAGTGCAATGATTGCAAACCATGTCCAGACCAAGTGCAATGATTGCAAACCGTATGAAGAAACAAGTGTAGTGATTGCAATATATGTGTAGTCACAAGAAAAATTTATTGCAAACCATGTGAAGTCACAACTTTGGAGATTGTAATTCATGTCAAATCACAAGTTAAATGTAAATGATTGCAGTCCGTATGAAGTCACGGGGAGTTAATTTCAAAGCAGAGGAAGTCACATGTTCATAGTTGCAAACAGTGTCATACCAAAGGTCAACATACTACAGCAAAAAAAGGCCAGAAGTTAATCAATTAGTCAGTTCACAAGTCAATTTATTACCACCAGTATCAAAATCAGGTCCCCAATTATTTGATAACTTCCCCTCACCAAGACAGGTCAGGAGTTACCCACACCAAGTTACGTCAGAAGTAAGCTAACTAATTACCCAATTCTTGTCTCAAGTCTTTCATTTATAACCATGTCATGATAGAGCAAATGCAGACATGCTTTGTTTTTACTAATTAAACCAAGTCACAACTCGGTTGATTATTGATTCAGTCAGATCACAATTCATTGTTTGCAAATCGAATCCATGTAGAAGTCGATCACTAATATTCTTTAAGTATACATGAATGTTTGCGTACTAATGATACCTTTTAACCTTGTATTTCATCCAGGCTGTGTGCTGTGATGACCACATTCACTGTTGCCCATCAGGCTACAGTTGCGGAACCAACTCCTGCCAGAAGGGCTCCATGCACCTACCCCTTCTCTCCAAGTCCACTGGCCTCCTTAAGCTTACCTTCGAGGGCCAGGAAGAACCAAAGCCAGAGGTCAAAGTTCATGATAATAAGCATCTCCTATTTCAGCCAGATGAACCACGGACAGGATCCGTCATCTGCCCAGGAGGCAAAATAGAATGTCAAGATGGAAACGCTTGTTGCCTGTTAGCCGGCGGTGATTATTCTTGTTGCCCTCTCCCTCAGGTGAGTTATGGAGTAGGTTTATAACTAGGTGGACAGAGTTCTTGTTGCCCTCTCCCTCAGGTAGGTTATGGAGTAGGTTTATAACTAGGTGGACAGAGTTGAAGCTCTACAAGTGTAAATATTGACAGCAGGGCAATTGTCATCAGAGTGTGTGACAAATAACTTTTAATCCTTGTTCATCAAGATGGTTAAGAATATTTTCTTGAAATAGCTGTAAAATCTGTATGAGAATGAATAAGGTGAGATATATTGCTCTTGTCAGATAAATGTATGTTTATGAATTCCATTTTTTTTAACATGCTAGGCGGTGTCCCCCCATGAGGAATCAGGTGATAAGATGATGTGTCCTGATGAGATCTCATCCTGTCCCACTGGATCCACCTGCTGTCAGACACCAGGAAACATCTACGGCTGCTGCCCCTACCAAGCAGTAAGTGATGCTTTATTCAAACATCCACATTTGTGAATGTCTTTTTCTTATTGTAGGTTCAATTTCACACTGGATAGATCATTGTTTGTTAGGCATAGAATACCATATGATATGGGAGACTCTTTGAACATAATGCGAACATAATGCAACTGTCAAAGAATAACAAGAAGAGAGTATTTAGTGAATTAATTCATACAATTAATTTCAATGACTGCATGCTGACAAGGTTTCCAGGAAAGATCAAGGAACTACATCTTGTGTTAGATGATACCCTTGCCTGGCTCTACTTCAGAGACAGCCTCTATACATCGGATAGGATCTTTCAACTGGAAATTTATGAAAAAGAAAGGATGATAGTCAACCAAATAAAGGAAATGATGGAGTTGTCAATTCGTGTAGTTATTAACTTCAAATTGGAATTATATTTGGACTTCACAGACCTTATTTTCCTTTTTATGTGCTTTTATTCAAATCAAGTTATATGTTAGGATGGACTTCCCTTAAGAACTTCATACTGTATGGGTTGTGGGACCTCTCCCTTGTTTGTATGTGGTTTGAATTCATGCAGCTATTTATTAAAAGCAGAAAAATACATTAAAAAAAGAAAAAGAGGAACATACAATCAAAATTAGTTTCAGTTTCCTGGTTATGTTTAAGTTGTGATATCAAGATTTTATAGAAAAGATTATACTTCAAGGGCATTAAGTATTGTGGTTATGTTGAAAGCTTTCAGTTTTACTCTGATGGCTGCTCATCATGGACAAGAAATCAGGTCAAAGTGTCGATCATTAACTCCAGGCATGTCTTGATCTTTTTATTTTTATTATTGTTTTATTTTTGCTCCTTGGCTATAATCCTCCCGATTGTCCACACTTCAACCAATTAATCATACATCAATGCACATTCCATTGATCAGTTTTGTGATCAATTTAGTTCTTTGAAAACTCTGAAGTTGTGGCGCATTAGAAAACTTGCAAAGAATTAATATACTTTTTTCTCCTCATTAATGAAATTTTAATTAAACCAACATTCAGGAAACCTTTTAAACTTCAGGGCCCATGTTCAATTCTATTTAATACTGGCATCATGTCAGTATTTTACTCCATAGTATTCAGCTTTGCTATCAATAGCACAAATCTTACTAACATCACATCTGAATATTTTATTTTACTTAGCCAATTTTCAACCGTTTTATTTAAGTAAGTACATTTTATAAAGCCAACTACTTTCTGATGGCCATCGTGACATCACATAGCCAATCCAAAATTATGCACAATAATTTGCATTGTATTGAATGCAAACCTTTTATAATTGCTTGTGCGTGCGCATGCCTCAGTATGACAAAACAAATGCCTGCTAATCAAGGTATCCAAAATATTTGGCTTAAATCTGCTAGGGACCTGGCTTAAACTAATACTAGAAAATATGTTTGAGTATTTCATCTAAGCCTAAAATTGAGTAAATAGTTCCGTCATAAGTTTTGAATTGAAGACTAGACCAGATAGATAAGCATGCTCTTTCTATTTTGATTGTGTTTAATCAGGCTATCTGCTGCTCTGATCTAATACACTGCTGTCCAAGTGACTACTCCTGTAACAGCTCTACAGGAACATGCACCAAAGATGACCATATCATGCCATGGGTGGGAAAGATTCCACCTCTCTAATCCATTGAGCTTCAAGGATGACATGGCTAAGGAGACTTTACACAAGATCAACAAATTTCTAGACAAAAATATGATTTTGCTTTTAAAGTACCTATCAGTTGGAGAGACTTATTTTTAGTACTATGAGTATGCTTCTTAAAGCAATTTATCTGTAAGATAAGCTTGATTGATGTATGGTTATATTTATGTCAGTTTTAAAATATAGATTAAAAATTTATTAGCTTACAGAATTTGAAATTTGGGTTGTGTTACTACGTAAAGAGTGTTTTGAGATTAAGAAGTATTCCATGGGAAAGATTCCACACCACTTCCAGCTTGAGTAGTTGTGGGTAAGAATTTCTTATTTTTACCTCACTGAAAAAACATTATAACATGTATTATTATGTAAAAATGGTGAAGTAGTGGTGACAATCCTCGATTTGATGAATTTATTTTATGCAAATTCAGATTGTATGTAATTCTAGTACCATATCAGTTTTGATTTATACATTTTTTCATATATAGATTAGAGCAGTCACTGTACATAAATTGAAGGAAGGAGGAAAATATTAATCAGGCTGTCTTGAATCTAATCAAGTTATGTTTACTAGAGATATATTTTGAGAATATTGTTGATGGACTTTTATTCATATTGTATGTCATCATGACTGTATGTTTTTATGAGGAAATAAACTTAAGATCTAAGAGATCAAAATATAAATGGATGGATGCAAATATATGATCAGAGAACTGTTAAAGATTGTGTGTTTATTTGTTCTATCAATTAAAGTAAAGGTGAAGGTGAATTCCAAGGATTATATTCTTTTTCACAATAGGGCTGCATATCACTTTTTTTGGCTATTCAATCCTTGTCAGCTGTTATATCACTGATATGACAAATGGCAATGCACAAACATCCCCAGGAATAACTGTCAAACATTGTTTATGATAATATCAATAAAGAATAATGAGATGAAAGTGCTAGTATGAAAATGCCCAAGGCTCTTAGAGAGTACATCAAAAGTAGAATCTTAAATGTAAAATGCAATACAGAATAATTAAACATCAACATGATGTGCTTATGTATCTGTGATATAGCCAAGTAAGATCTGCTTTAATACATGTACGCTCCACAGCACCAGATGAACTGCTACCTCTGGCATGTTTGTGCTCTCCTAGTCTTGTACTTCACTGCAGTTTGCAGCTTTCTCATAATCAAAATAGATTTATTTCATTGTTTATTTCTAAACTCATTAAACATACAATGTCAATTCAAAGTGATATAATATACATGTATTGTATACTGGCAAAAGTGTATATCGCATGCTTTTGCTTTTATTATTGCAATATTCCATGTTGAGATATATATCGTGCAGCCCTATTATCACGATATTGACTTTTCAAATTTGTCATCAAGTATTCCTTTTGTGTATTCTTTGTTTAAAGTAGCCAATCATGTATGTTCTATGGCGTCTTTCTGAAAGCCAACATCTGGGGAAATTTAGAGGCTTTTTCTTTGTATCTCTTAGATTGTCTGTCACATAAATCTACAGAACTGGTTGCATCTGTTTGGATATAGGTTGGGGGCGGTCTGTGGATTACAGTTTGTTGGTTATCTTTGCCCAAGACCTGGCAGCACAGCCAGGTGCACCTGGAATTCATGTATTTTTGTGTGATTTGCAATTGATTAAGTTTGTTTCTGTATTTTTATATCGAGTGTTTTCTGCCGAATAAAGTAATGATAATGATAATAGTAAAGCTACAACTGATTTCTTTGTTTTTTTCCACGATTAACCCTGCATTTTTTCATCAAATGAAACCATTTTTGAAATTTAAGGTGAGGCAACAGATCAAACAGTTGCAATGATTCTTCTGAAGTAAGAGAAGTAAGTGATTATGAAGCAGGCTCTGATAATATTTGTGCAGTGTTATGGGACATCGTCTGCCTATGCTACTTCGGTCCCTTGCGTGACGTCACGAATCTTGGCAGTGTTCTAAGAGCTCTAAGTGCGAAAGCAGAGAAGTACTTGATTGTTGCTGTGTATGCTTACAACCTGGGAATCTTGATAAACCTGTTTGATCTAACCTTTCATTATGCATTGATACAAATTAAATCAATATTTAAAATCAATGAACCTCCACTTTAACAAAATAAAAATACATTTTCTGTATTTGAAAATTGGAGGCCAATGTAGAATATAATGATTTGGGTATAAGCCTTGGCCATGCACTGTTGACTGTAATTTTGATTAAGCGATATCATCAACATAATATTCCATTCTATTTTGTCAATGCTTTAGTAGTTACTTCGGTCATTCCATGTGATATAATTTTTGTAGCACTAGCAGTTATTATTCGAGTTGCCATTATCAGGGGTGGCGCCAGGTTATTTTGTTAGGGGGGCCAATGGGCGCGCCAGCGCCATCGTTGCGCTTGCGCGACGCAGGGGACAGGCGTGCTGAAAGCAATCTGTTGGGTTGGAGGGGGGGGGGGGGGGCAAACAATACGTTCCGAAGGGCTCACCTTTCAGGGGCAGTGGCATAATGAGCAAAAGCGTTTGGGGGGCAGAAGAAAAATCTGCATCACCACCACTCTTACATGTTACGTGCAGGCCCCGCGTAACGTTTTTTAAAGTGGAGTATTGACGATCGATCCAGGGGGTGGAGCACCCGTATAAGCTTAGGGGTTTTAGGCATTTAATTACGGTCAGATGAGCATATTTTTATACCTCATTTCGAGTCATTTGTGACACTGGCAAGTCACTCATTCGTTTCTTTCTCTCTTTCTTTCTTTTACTTCTTCAAAATAGTGAGGCCCGCCGTTCGGCAGGCCCTGTCAAGAAGGCTTCTATGCATTTTTTTTGCCAGACAGTAATTTAATTTTTTCTTTTTTTTGGGGGGGGGGGGAGCGAAAATGCGTTTTGCCCCACATTTTTTTCGTTTGGGGGCGACTGCCCATCCCTCAGTATACTCCCCTCAGAAGTTGAAGATTTTTTTTTTAAATGGCTCGATTTAATTGGTGCATAATTTTTGTCTGATTAAAAACAAAAACAAGCGCAATATTCTCTATCTTTATCTTTTTCTTTTCCCTCTCTCCCGCTCTCCTATACGTCAGACATAATGTACATTATAGTTCTCTTCCTCCTGGTCTTCCTCCTTCTCATCCCCTTCCTTTTCTTTTCTTCTCCTTCTTTTCCTTCTCCTTTTCCTCTTTCTCCTTCTCTTCCTCTTCCTTGTTTTGAAAATGAAAGGGCGGCCCCCTGCCCCCTCCCTGTGGCGCCGCCCCTGACCATTATGTATTTTTCTGTTCTGCCATATTTCCTCTCAAGAAGAAGTAGCAATTTAAATATGCAAAGAGTATTGTGGATTGAACAGGGTCAGGCGCAGATCCAGGGGGCCGAGCGGGCCTTGCCCGATCCCCCCCCCCCCCCCCCCACCCACCCGCATAAAAAGAGAGAGAGAGAGAAAGAAAGAAAGAAGGAAAGAAGGGAAAGGGGAAAGGAGAGAAGGGAAAGAAAGAAGGCGCAGATCCAGGGGGCCGAGCAGGCCTTGCCCGACCCCCCCCCCCCCCCCACCCACCCGCATAAAAAGAGAGAGAGAGAGAGAAAGAAAGAAGGAAAGAAGGGAAAGGGAAAAAAGAGAGAAGGGAAAGAAAGAAGGGGAAAAGAAAAGAAAAGGGGGGGGGGAAAGGATATCGGGGGGGGGGGGGGCTGGCCGAAAAGGGCTTGCCTCTCACCCCCCCCCCCCCCCCCCCGTCAAAAAAAATAATGAGAGAGAATTACAAAACAGAAAACGAGGAGATAAAGAGAAGGAAAATAATAGGAAGAAGAAAAGAAAAGAAGGGGGATATCAGTTGCAATTTTCCCGCCAACAAGTTGTGAATCGGGGGAGCAAAAAGCCCTTGCCTCTCCCCCCCCCCCCCCCCCGCCAAAAATAGAGAGAGAGATAAGGAAGAGAAAGGGAAAGAGGAGAGCTAAAAGGGAACAAAAAAGAGGAAGAAGAAAAGAAAAGGGTGAACAGAAGCGGAGATCAGTTGCTATTAATCCCGCCAACAACATGTGCATCGGGGGGGGGGGGGGAAGGCCCTTGCCCCCCCCCCCCCCGGGGAAGCCTAAAAGAGAGAAAAGGAAGTGAAGAGAGAGGGAAAGAGGAGAGAAAGGGAAAGGGGGGAAAAGAGAAAGTAGAAAGGTATGAAATGCAATTTCCTTACTAAATCAGTTTTATTGTGTACTTTGTATAGGCCGCCAAATTCACCTCTTGAATATTTTGACAGGCTTGATGACATGTTGAATAACGCAATCAATCGAAGTGAAGAAATTATTATACTTCGCGATTTGAATTGTGATCTACTCTCCTCGATTAAAGTCAGCTATGACAGGATTTCTCATGAACCAAATGATTAAGTCACCCACACGTATTGTCTTTGGTAACGCAAACTTATAGATCATATTTATATACTACTAGCCGTCCGGAAGAACATATTAAATATGGTATTATAAAAACCCATCTCAGTGACCCCTTTATTATATGGTATATATATATTTGATGGCGTACTTGCCCGAAAACGACAGATTGCTCCTGGGAATCCCTTAGTGGAATTGTGGGAGGACACCTAGTCTTTCATCCCATGACAGTAAAAGTGGGACCAGTGGTCAAGTTTTACTAGCCCCACTCTTTTAAATTTGGACATAATTCAAAACGGGAGGTATAAATAGTGAATATTTGATGGCGTACTTGCCCGAAAACGACAGATTGCTCCTGGGAATCCCTTAGTGGAATTGTGGGAGGACACCTAATCTTTCATCCCATGACAGTAAAAGTGGGACCAGTGGTCAAGTTTTACTAGCCCCACTCTTTTAAATTTGGACATAATTCAAAACGGGAGGTATAAATAGTCACCCGATACGAGCTGCGACATTAAAGTCATTGACCAGTTTAGGAAAAATGATGCAATATGTATTGACCCGTTTTTGTATCACATCCAACATGTGTTTGATTTGCGTCCAGTAGTCATTAACGCTATTTTAAGACCTACTTTTTGTGGTTAGAGTCATTAAGGCGACAGCGCCCAGCAACATTTTTTTCTACAAACGACTGTAGCGCCAGGTTACCCGGCCATACATCCAGGGGCAGATCAAAGACTTTACAGGGGGGGGGGGGGGGTGGGGGGGGGGGGGGGGGGGGGGGGGGAGGAAGCTTGAAATAAACGAAATTGCGAGAATGAAGCCTTCAACTGGATGCGGTCCCCGGATAATCTTAGCCTTTTGGCAGATTCTGAGGCCTATCCAAATGCTTAAACAGAATATGTATGCGAACACATTTTTTTCGGGAGAAAAAAAAGGGGGGGGGGCGTGCGCCTCCCAGTACCAGGCATCCACTGGATCTGGGCAGCGTTTCATGAGACCGTCATAACTACAAGTTAACCGACATCCCATTGAAACGTGTGTTAAACTTAATACACACATTTCAATGGGATGTCGTTGGACTTGTACTTATGACGGTTTCATGAAACGCTGCCCAGATCCCCGACACCGAACACCTGGGGAGGTTTCACGAAACCGTCATTAAGTCTAACTTTTTAGACATCGTATTGAAACGTGTGATAGAGATCTAACACGTGTTTCTACCAAATCTCCACGAGCTTAGACTTATGGCAGTTTCGAGAAACTAGCACTCGCTCTGAATCTGGCGCATCCACGGCCACGCTGGAAGCTCGGATCTGACCGCCTGCGATGCATGCCCCGGACGCGACGGCAGCCCGCTCTCGAGCTAACTCTCCATCGCATCGTGCAGCTGTCTTTCTTCTCTTTCACGAACACGGTTGCCCGACTGAAACAACTAGACCACATTAGTAGCCTGACATCAAGATAGGTCTCTATTATGTGCCCATCCGTCTGATTAAGGTAGGTTCTACAGTAACACCGTATTTTATTCTTTTTTTAAATAAATCTAACTTGCACATTCAAATGGAAATAATAGCCCTACCAGGTGCGCCGGGCCCGCCGCTCCCGCCCGGCAGGATACCTAGACTGGTGCACATCACGAGCCATGTCCCTGGTTTTGCCCACACATATCTGCATTACTATCCTGGCTGTGCAGCTGTGTATTAAAAACTGTTCATATTGATTTTCAGCATTTCAAACTACACTGTACAAAACTCAACTGATTTCACTCAAAATCGGTACTTTAGTGATAGTTGATGCCCGCCCCCCCCCCCCCCACTCAGTGTTATTTAGGGTACGCATATGCTCGTTCCCTCTTTTTGAAAGCACCCCCTATCTGAGGACTGCCAACATTTTCGAACCCCCCTTTCGCGGGCTTTTCACAGGCTTTTCCTGCCTTGGAGACCCCCCTAAATCAGGAAAAATGCTCAATGCACCCCCCTAAATTCAGAATAATTTCTCAGGAGTCAAAAGAGATGAGAGAAAAAAAGAAAAAACACCCCCTTTTTAAAGAAATCTCCGGGTGAAAAGTCAAATACACCCCTTTTTTTACAATTCTCGGGCCGGACTTTGTTGCACGAAAAGTACCCCTTTACCGGACATTTTGGTAACACGCATGCGGTCATTCCGACCCCTGCGTGGGGGGGGCCGGGGTAAAGTCAATACAAGTCGACCTTTTTCTTTTGTTATACAAGCCTTTTTCAGCAAAAGTCCGGTGTGTAAAGTCAATACGGGTCGACCTTTTTCTTTTGTTACGAAAAGGACATTTTGGTAACACGCATGGGGTCCATCCGTTCTCGAGTGGGGGGGGGGGGGGGGGGGGGGGGGGGGGGCCGGGAGTTGATGACACCTAAATAGCATACAATTTTTTCAACTTAGGTCTATGTTATAGTTATACTTAGAGATCTAGAATCTAGTCTATAGTCATATAGATCTAGACTAGAAAGAAAAATTCAAAAATTCAAATCGTGAGTCTACTGTCAAACTTGCTAATCAACCACTTTGTATACATTGTGTGCATTAGTGTGCAATTGTGTGCAATGTGTTCATCGTGTGCTATTGCTGCCTCTCAGCACGTACATGTAACAGCGCTAGAGGACAATACGCCTAAGCATTAATTGACTCTAGCCTTGCTGGAGTGGTTTTGCCCTGCAGGCCTGGGTGGAATACGATATAAAATATCAAAAACTGTGACTCTAATGATTGCATTTTAGGCGTGGACTTTACGTAAGGTAGCATATGACGTTCAAATCAGATTTCTTAATAATCTTGCCATATGACCCATGTGCATCAACTTTTCACACGTATAGGCTACTGTCGGTGTCATCATGCATCCTCAGCTCATGGTAGCTGCTAGACGCAGGTTGTAGATCTAATAACATTGATATCACTTGGCCTATACCCATATCATTTAATAATATTCAATCTGAGCTGTATGGCCCTACGTGTTATCAGTGCCTGTGATATGGTGTAATATTGAAGCCCTAAACAAAATTGCGCTTCAAAATGATCATGATAGAAATGCCTCAAAGAAGTAAAAATCTGTTAGTTTGAGTTACCATTTTTACCATACTCATTTTCCCCAAAAGACTGTAGTGTACATGAATGTAATAAAAAACTGTTAGGTAAACAAAAAATAAAATTTTGATTTCCAATCATAAATATCTTGATAATCAGACAGCTAGGCAATCGGCTTGTAAAGTCATGGGATTCCTGACTGACCTAAATGTTTGTAATCATGATTGCAGCATGAGCTAAATCCAGGAGTTTTTTTCTTCAGAATCTGAGGCAATGTTACCGAGCCACTTAATTGATACCCGTACCCCTATCAAGACTGATAATTGATATAAAACAAAAATTCAAATTTGTTCATAATAACCACTAGAAGTACCCACACTAAAATAACCTTACCCACTGGTGGTAGCTGTTAATACTAGTATGATTAGTATTACTATACTGTAGGACTAGTAATATAAACTCTTCTTTCTTCTCATACAAATCACTTTAAAATAATACAAACATTTAACAAAAAATGTAAATATTTGATACTGGAGGGATAGCAATTTGGTGTGTCAGTCTGCAGAAAGGGAGGGGGCCGGCTGAAAGGGGGCCCAATTCGTGAAAAATGTTGAGCACCGAGTTAACACCCACCACCCCCGGCCCCCCTTTGCTCCCCCCTTTCTCCAGGGGGGCGTCTTTTTTAAATCTAAAAAAAGGTTAAATTTACCTGTTTATGGGGCCAAGTGAGGGGGTCCCGCGCCCCCCCCCCCCCCCCCCCAATCTGGATCTGCCACTGCACTGCTGCAATAGTGAAAAACAGACACCATAATCTCTCTTCTCACAGAAGATTTAATATACCTAATATATATGTTAAAGGGAAATCCACCTTATTCTCTAGTATTAGCAAACTACCAGTGGAGGCTGAACAAATATAAGAAGCACAATGGGGACAATTTGATTTAAATTTAAATCAGACTAAAAGTGACAAAGTTACATGTACACATTTTTGTTGTAAATTTGTAATCATTAAAACATGTAGGTATGGGCTCTTCAAATTGGCTGAATCAGTAACGTCTATAGGATGTAGTGGCGGACAACTTTTCCATTTGTTCCAACACACAGAATGACTAAAATGTAAATGAAAAAGAAAAAACATGTACATGTATGACTCAGAAGGTGATCTTTATATCGTAAGAGGACCTGTAAATAAACTGATAATTTCCACAAGGAAGAAGGCACTTAAGATTATGTTTTGTATACAACAAACAGGAGAGTTATCCATACATGTCTACATCATGTATTTCAAACTTTTGCCATTCTCTTTTTCTTACAGTGTATTTTTTTAAAACCCAATTCAGGGACTCTTCAACTCACACATGTAATGTAATTTATGCTACATGTATGTTTCAGAGGTGAAGTAGACAACAAACAGAAGAGTTATCAATGTCTATGTAGCCCCTCTTTGGTGCCACATAAGTAAAAAAAAGGGATTAACCTCTTTAAAGTATGGCATGAATAGCTATACCTACAGTAGTGATCGATAGGAGAGATTTTGTTGTAACTTTGTGGCGAAAGCAAATTGTTTATATTAGCAAATAGTTCTTGTGAGTGAGTCTTGCCAGAGGTTCCACCTTTTAACCTATAGGGCCTATAGGGCGAAACTTCTTGGAACTTCTTGGACTGCTCCATATTAATTGCTATAGGGGTAGAAAGCTTTTAAGATAAAAGTATATTTCATATTTGTATGTTATCTGTTAATTCTAGTTGTTATCTCTTTGCATGACTTTGCTTAGGATATATATTCAATGTCTTATATTGCTATATAAATGACTCACGGATCAACAACCACAACCAACTATTACTATTCAGACCCCTTTCCTATAATAATGGTATATTCGATATACCAACATCCAAGATTTTCTTGAGGCATCTTCCTTCTTTCACTATTACGAAGATGGAGAGGAAGCATCCTCGAAACATCAGTCTTCAATAACTTCTGTTTTTCCCTGCCCTTTCAGGTAAGATCCAAAAGTCATTTATTTATATTTGATTATTTCAATGTTCAATAGTTTGTTATACATTATAAATGCATCATTACTAGATACTAGATGTGACATATTTAAGTGGATTTAAATGAATATCGTTAATCATGTGACACTATGCGTGTCTCACCAATTTTTTTAATTGGAACAGTATGACTAAGCTTACTTTTATACATCTGGAGATAGATTTAATATCATATACCATTATCTTTATATAAATCTCACTCAAGATAAGCAGTTATTTGAATGTTACTAACCATTTTCAATGATTGTTCATGGTCAAGCACTTGTTGTTTAGTATTGTCTAGCAGCGCGTGCACCGAGCGATTTGTATAATTATATCCTTTGGAAATCAGCGCCAAAGTTATAAGTAATGGGCTATTCCAAAACAAACAAACAGTATTACCCTGGTCAAGCAGATAGGTTGGGTTCTCTATCTTGCCGCAGTAATATTGTGCGAACTCTAATGTATGTGATTAAAGACTTTCCTGAACAATATTGTGCAAGACCACCTCTTGAATTGCATACATTGTTTATAAATATGATGTATTAACACAGTTATTATAAAATATCAATATGATAGTTATTAATTATTCTCTAAAGATACACCATGATTTATCATTAAGTATCTAAACTATATTTTATTGATTAAATGCTTCTTTCACTATTACGAAGATGGAGAGGGAGCATCCTCGAAACATCAGTCTTCAATAACTTCTGTTTTTTCCCTGCCCTTTCAGATCAGGCTAAAGGTCGTCACCTCATGACACCCCTGTCAACCTGAGACCCTCTGTAATTTGTCAAACTCTAATAGTTTTGTTTTAAGCCATAGAGATAATATCTCAACTTATTGCCATGAAGTTAATGTAATGTAACCAGGAGTTACAGATTCTTGTAAATATATTGTAAATATGCTTTGTATTACTCAATAATAAAGGAACTTATACATTTCCTTTATATTGCCTAGTTCTCTAGTTTATTTTGAGATAGACTAGATTCGTGTTGATTGAGTATGAATGAGTTTGTGTGCTGTAATTGTTTGATATAAACTTGTTTCTGTGGACCCGACAGGTGGGGAAATAACTAAATTCCGCTGCGCTAGATAAATGAATGATCCTCTCCCCACCCAAGAAAGTCCGGTGCTACATCTACATGAATGTACCAAATTGCCAATTTGAGATTCACATTTATTTAGTGATCTCATACTTCAAACATTCATAACTCTTAGTATTGGTCTGATTTATTTCAAACTTTTGCCATTCTGTTTCTCTTACATTGTATTTAAAAAAAACTCAATTCAGGGACTCTTCAACCCATACATGTATTGTAATTTATGCTACACGTACATATTTTGTGTTTCAGAGTTGAAGGGAAATTTTGAATAATTTTTTCCTCATGTACATTTATATATCTATGAATGGTCAATCCCTGCTATTAATACTAGAACACAAGACATATTGAAGCCTCTTCAACAGGTACATTTTGTAAAGCTATGGTGGAGTACAACTGCTGTGAGTATTCTCAAACTTGTGTGTGAGTTTTGACAAGGGAAATAAATCACCAGCCCCCCCCCCCCCAAAAGCCTCAAATTTCACTTGATCAAGGTGACAGAGATCCAAGTTATGGAATTGTATGGAAATAAGATTCTAAATCGTGAAAAGGATTTATATTTTTTAATTTGTGAGATTTTTCTGGTGTTTTTAAGTACGCTTCAACAAAGAGGTAGGCCACCACCAAAATTGACACATCCCCAATTATTAATGATTTCCTGTTCTTTGGATGCTTCTTCTTTATAAAAAAATGGAAGGTATTAGTGGGCAACTTCTCTGTGCATTAGTGAGTTTATGTCATTTTTGTTTTCTTACATTTTTATGTAAAACATGACCACCATTCGCAGTCATGAGGTGATATGAATGAGAAAATAAAGATAAACATAGTTGATTGTAAACATGGAGGATGATAACATTTAAGATAAAGAATACATGCGAAAAAGGTGTGAAAGAGAAAATGAGTGAAGGAAGAAGAACAAAGATAACTGTTTAGATACAAATGAGAAAAATAAAGGCACACACAGGGAAAGAGAGAAGAACCAATGAAAGAAGACAAAAACTGAGTGAAAAGTCATATCCTATGTAGACAGAAATAGGGGAAAGTGAAAGAAGAATATAAAAAAACAGTATATGAATAGAAGATATTAAAGTAAAAGATAAAAGAAGGATAAAATAAGAGAACATGAAGCGAGGACAGAAAAAAGAAGAAAAAAGATGTAGACAATAAAAAAGGAATAACATAGAAAATGAGAGAAAGAGGAAAACAGAAGGAAAAAAAGACTAACATAGGGTTATCTCAATAAAAGGAGAAATTTAAACAAATAATAAAACAGAAGAATAGAAAACTGTAAAGTGCTGCATGATATTGAATGTAAATATATGTCACAAGCTTTCTATCTGGGCAGATTTCTCCTGGGTACATTTTGAAATTCTAATCACCTACTCGTCATCACAATGAAATGACCTAATGAATAAAATGATGTGATTTTTATTTTTCTCATCAATGACGATTCATTAATTTTCAGATTTCCTGTTCTTCATCCCAAGTGTTAATATTTGTATAACCGATTTATGTTCTATAGTATTTTGCTCCAAAGTTACTATCCCGTTTCATTCTATAAAATGCACGATAAGCAGACTCTAGATTTGTGCAGCTACTTTTACATACATGTACATGTCCACTTTATTACCCCGTATCTGTAGCTAGATATTTGGGATGCCAATTTGAAACAAAGTCTGTCAAAAGTACCCTCCTTAATACCCTATTTCCAATGACACCCATGTACCTTTATTCCTGTTAGGTGCTTAACATTGCACAAACTTAAAACAAAACAGTACCTGGAACTTGCAGCTGCAAAGAGAGAAAGAGAAAGAGAGAGAGAGAGAGAGAGATATTTAAAGAGAGAGAAAAGGAGATCATACATGTATGAGAATAATAAACTGGAAAGAGTGACTATTATTGATTGCAAAAGTGACTGCAATTATTTGTCAGTAAATAAATGAAATGTAAATTACTTTGGTATGTAGAAGGAAAATTGTAAGGTTCAGAATTCAGAATTATTTTCTAATCTGCCCTTCTCTATCACCTCTGCATTAACATCATCACCCCTTTTTAAATATCCATCTGATATCCCTCTAATAGAAAACTGAACAGCTTTTGAGCCATAATGCATGGCCATTCAGAGGATTTGTTTATGTTGGGGACCGGGGTAAAATGCAATAAATTTCATTTTCTGTTTTTTATTTTGTTTATGGAAACTGCCCCCTATCCTAGCCCCCGCTTCGTACAGTCATGGTTCAGTGACAAAGCAATGGCCTCGTAACTGTGAGGCCCCAGGATCAAAACCGTGTCGATGTGCTATATTAGTGCCCTTTTGTGGGGCATTAATCCTCGTTACTGTCATTTATGACTTAAGGGCGTAGGTCCCCTATTTGATAAGCATAGTAGCATACACATGCTTTAGCAGTCACGCAAAACACACATTGTCAAATTATTATTCAATAAAATCGGAGAATGGATACTATTATCTAGATCTATTATTTTTAAATTATTTTAAAAATAATTCCATAAAGTGGGGTAAAACAAAAATATTCCAACTATATGAGCGACAGTGTATAATGTGAAGCATCCATGTTGCACTTTCTCCCTCTTCGTATTCTTATGCCATTTTAAAAACTATTTATTACAAATCTTTAATATAGTAAGACCCTACATGTACATTACATGTACATGTGCACATATTTTCAGAAGAGTCATATTATTGAGTGGAAAATACAGCTTTTCTATTCAATTTCCATTATGTTCTATAGATTAGGTAAAGCTAAATTAATTAATATAATTTGAGTTAAAATACATGTTTCTCTGAGGATCCAAAACCATTGAATACTATTGATTACCTAAGATTTAACTAACCATGGTCAGTTATCTTTCATTACCATAATATTTTGCAATTTGTCTGAATTTGTATAGAAATAAATGAAACTAAAGTATAATTTGCATATTAAAAAGATAATGTTTTTCTCCAACAATAATCAGCTGATTATCCTTTATTTTTGTTTGTTTGTAGTTGTTTTTTATTGATATATTTTATTTATTTCCTGTACAAAGATATTAATTGCATAATGTTTTCTCCTTTAAATGATTTTTTTTTCTATTTTGATCCAATTTCCAAAAGATTACCCCTTATCCCTACAGTATATGCAATCTCCTACATGTAGCATTAAAAGTTGGCCAGTCTTCCTTTTAAAATTTATTGGATTTTTGTTTGTGTGTGTCTATGTCAAAGTTATTCTTATGCACATCTATTTTTCATTTATTCTTCAACTCTGGTATGATTTCCATTCAGTTTGGTATATATTGTATACAGTGTACATATTACGTAGAGCCGTTCCTTGGTTTTAGCGGTCTATGGTTTTAGTCTTTAAAAGAGGGTTGGGTGTGGAAATTTGTTCCCCCCCCCCCCCTGTGCAAAATTAATGACTGCTGTGGATTGCAACCTGTAAGTTTTACAGTGCACATCAACTTTATAATTAAGTTACCAAAGTTGGAACTGGTACATTTTTTTTATTATACGCACTGAATAGTAACTTTGAGACTAAATTTGCATAAAATCTGACTGTCCATACATTTTAGCAGTAATTTATTGTTTCCATTGTTGCAATGCCAAATGAAATAATAATTATAGCTTGCAGTAAAATCTTAGGATTTTTGTTTTTCTACAGGGTGTCTACTGTCTAAAAAGAATATGCAACAATATTTTTATTGGATACATTTTAAAGTTTTAAACGGTACTCATCCATTCATTTTGTTGGCAGTGCTGTGTTAGTATTATCTAAATACCATTTGTGTACAAGGAACAATACTACCCCACAAACTTAAGTTAGGATTGTTTTTGCTAGACGTATCACATTTCAAATGTTAAAGATAGCATGTTGCATGCATCAGTGCACAAGAATACTGTGGCTTCTACATTTTAAAACAAACTTTCAATTTAAGTCACTCTTATTTCTTGGAAACAATACCATCATTGATTTGAAAGAAAATAATATACTTATTCATGCAGCTCTTCAAATATTTATTTCAAGTTAAGCAACAACTACCAAACATTGATTTTATATCATCCATTTCAGCAGATCTGCATGAACATGTATTAACAATACCTACATGTAGTTTTTGTATTGTATATTATTATGCAGATTCATATGAGTAGAAATGTATATGTCTTGGCAGCTCCTGATTCAATTATATCCTCTCTCTCTCTCTCTTTCTACCTTTTTATCCCTCTTTTCCCCTCTTTTTTCCCTTTTTTTTTTACTTTCAATCACTCTAGCTACCTCTCTCTTCCCCTTTTTGATCGCAGGAAGTTGCAATATTGTTATTATGTCACTGTAATAGTTCTGTATAAATGCAACTTTACATGTGTATACTTATACTTAATTGTAACTATTGCTCTTACCCAAACTACAGTCTTCTTTGGAGCAAACTGTCAGACATTTGCGGTAGTATACAGCTGAAATGGAATTTCCGTTCAACCAAACAGTATACTTCAAGGCTATTTCTCAGCGACGAGGGTTAGCTCCAGGTAGCAGTAGCAGGTACATGTAACAATATCTTAAAAACATTTACTTACCTGTAAGTCCTTTTCATGTGAAGATGATTCAAAGTACAACTATATTTATTTATTGTATAAAATGACCTGCTTTCATAAAGTCCTCTTGTGAAATCTTATGAATTTGAGTCCAATCCCCCCCCCACCCCCTTCCTGTTTTTCTGGCTTCTATGTATTCTTTGAGCCAGCCCTTTGACGTATGCTTAGATCTTTTAAGTTGCAAATTTAGAAATTGCTTTCTTCAGTCAGCAACATAATGCATGATTCACATAGATTAGGGATATGTACCGGTAACCCA